CATCTCTCCCGGGGGGTGGTGCAAGCGGTGCTACTGGCCATGCGGTGGCACCGATTCCCGTTGACTTCCCAGGGGGAGGAAGGGCTCACCAGCTGACACGGAATCGAGCCCCGTTTTCACAGAAACCATTTCGCCACTGAAATGCAGCCACCTCTGGGGTGGAGTCCGATGGTAAATGAGAGCAGGACGGGGAAGGCTGAGCACACAGAAGGGGAGTTTCTGTGACATCAGATGTAAAAGATAAAATTTGCCTGAGGGGGAGGAGCTACCAGATTTCCCTCTTTGGGGAGATGCTCGGCTCTTGCAAAACGTGACTGGGAATCTGCATTCACGTGCAGGGTGTGACTCTTTGGATAGTCCACGGGACAACGCAAAGCCCCCTCACACCACAGAAGATATGAGTTCTTCAGTCCAGTCTCCCCGGCCTGGGGGAGCCACTGCCCCAAATCCCCTTTTGCAGAAATGCAGGTTCTTCCCCAAACATTTCATAAAATCACGGGGCTGGAAGAGACCTCAGGAGTCACCGAGTCCAGCCCAGAGCAGAACCAGCCCCAACTCAATCGTCCCAGCCAGGGCTTTGTCCAGCTGGGACTTAAACACCCCTAGGGATGGAGATTCCATCCCCTCCCTAGGGAACCCATCCCAGGGCTTCCCCACCCGCCTAGGGAAATCGTTTGTCCTAATCTCCAACCTAGACCTCCCCCACTGCAACTTGAGCCCATCGCTCCTTGTTCTGCCACCTGCCCCTCTGAGAACAGCCTTTCTCCAGCATCTGTGGAACCCCCCTTCAGGGAGTTGCAGGCTGCTCTCAAATCCCCCCTCCCTCTTCTCTTCTACAGATTAAACAAACCCAAATCCCTCAGTCTCTCCTCGCAGGTCATGTGCTCCAGCCTCCGAATCATTTTGGTTGTCCCCCGCTGGACTCTCTCCAGTGCGTCCACATCCTTTCTGTACTGATGGGCCCAGACTGGACACAATACTCCAGATGTGGCCTCACCAGTGCCGAATAAAGGGGAACAATCACTTCCGTAGATGTGCTGACAATGCTCCTCCTAATGCACCCCAATATGCCATTAGCCTTCAGAAGTCCGTGCCAGCGGAAATGGCTGTATAACACAGGCGTTAAGAAGACAGAGGGCATGCAAAAAGCACCCCAGAATAAAGAGAGACGGCGGCATCTGATGTGTGCGTCAAGCGATGTCTGATGGTGCAGGAAGGTTTTAGATTCAGAAAATGGCTCTGGCAAAACTACACAGAAAAGTGAACAAAGGGCCCAGCAATTGAAATTCGGGAAATATTTGAGAATGATTTCCCTCCCTTGACATTTCACCCTACTTTTTTAAGAGATGGAGACCACCAGGGCTGCAGGCATTTATAGTACAGAGAAACCCATTTCACATATCCCGGAAACATTCTGTACGCTTGACGTGTAGATATGCCAGTCTTCCATTCAGAAGGCGGCTGTGCAAAACCCTCAGACACACAGGCCGCCTAAGCGCTGTTGAGCCTGCTGGTCTCCAGAAATAGTCGAAATGTCTTTTTTTTTTTCAAAAATGTATTTTGGTCAACAAAGAGAGCTGCTTTTTTCACACACACGAAAACATTTTTGACAACACTGAATGTTTTGTCTTTGAAAAAAACCCAACCCGTGTAGTGAGAAGTTTTGTTTCACAACACCCTCTCAATTTTTATATCTCCTTCCCCATGATTTCCCCGCTGAAAAAAGAGGAGGAGGAGGTAAAAAGCAGAAAGAAAGCATGCCTGGAGGAAAGCTTATTTATTTACCAGGGTTGTAGGAAAAACATCCACAAACATATTTAGTAAATTGAAATTGGTTTTCCATTGTTGTTTAACAGTGTGATTAAAACGGCAATTAATTTTTTAAATCAGGTGACTTTGTTTTAATTAATGGTGTGAATTAACTGAAGTTAATTGACAGCCCTGTTATTTACTTCGTTCCCCTTGGAAAAGTTGGATATAAGTTTTTAAAAAATGAGAGAAATGCAAGGGGAGATCCACTTTCTCAGACTTTTAATTTTTGCTTTCACTAGCAAAGTAAGAAAAAGAAATATATAGAGCAGTCAAATGATTTACAATGAATTAATCATAAGATTATTTTAAATAGTTATAATTAATCTGCTTTAATTGCATTGTTAAACAATAATAGAACCCCAATTTAAGTAATTAATAATTTTGGATGTTTTTCTACATTTTGAAATATACAGATTTCATTACAAAACAGAATATAAAGTGCACAGAACTCGCTGTATAATATTATTTTTCATTACAAATAATTGCACAGTCAAAACCAAAAATAGTATTTTTCAGTTATTTCATACAAGTACTGTAGTGCAATTGCTTGAGCATGAAAGCGCAACTTACAAAAATAGATTTTGTTTTACTCAAAACCAAAACTCTACAGCCTACAAGTCCACTCAGTCCTACTTCTTGTTCAGCCAAGCACTGAGACCAACACATTTGTTTACGTTTAGGGCATAAAATGTTTACACTATCACCTGAGAGTGAAGCAAGGCCTTCAGGTGGCACTGCTGTAATATAAAGTGAGCACCATATACTTTATATTCTGTGGTGTGAGTGAAATCACTAAATTGGAAAATGTGGATAAACATCCAAAAATATGTGTAATAATTGTACATGGGTATTCTATTATTTTTAACAGTTCCATTAAAACTGTAATTAATTGTGCCTATATTTAATCACTTGAATTAACCGCAATTAATTAATTGGTATCCCTAGTTTTTTATCTGTCTGTCTGTCTACAGCATAGAATGTTATCCTGCCACCACTATAAAATGAAGTAAATGTGTTTTTCTACTTTCGATCCCTTTTCTGCTTATTTTCCCTTGCCTCTGCCCCATTCCAGACGAGAAAGAAAAGAAATGAAAAAACAGTAAGACACAATGTTTTGAAAATCAAACTGCGTTTGGTGTTTAGGAAATGCCAGTGAAGCACGAGCGGCAATCAGTAATGAAAAGTTTCATTTGGTTTGGGAGCTTTTTGCAAAAGAATCAACATTTGTGATCAGTTTTGAGCCAAAATGTTTCGTTTGAAACTGCTCACAGGGAAAATAACGGGGTTTTTTTTTTTTTTACCCGTTCTATCCACTCAGGTCAATGGGCGTTGAGGACAAGCATTGCATGGGATTGTTATGTTAGATAGAAATGCTCTTGCTGGAAGGTTGCTATGTGACACGGATTTTTTTTTTTTAAAGAATTCAGAATAAACAGAACCCCCCCCCCAAAATAAAGAGAGAGAGAAAACAGGCTGCTCCCTAGAACAGAGAGGTGCAACTCACCCGGCCTCACCCTAGGCTGGCTTTCTGCTGACTCACTACTGCTACTAGGTGGGGATCAGATTTTATACTTCCCTTTAGACCCCGCCCCCTCTGCCAAAAAGCCCTGAAATTTAAAGTGACAGTCGACATTTGAACAGGTTTCGGTGCACCCCAAGGATCATTCCTATTGTATGTCAGAAAAT